CACTTGCACTATGTTTTACCCACATGGATCAACTAAAGAATCATGCCCAGCGACTAGCAGTCTGTTCAAACCCTGATAAATAATGGCTAATGAAGACATTCGGCATCTACCACAATCCGGGGGCTAGATCATGATCAATCAACACTGCAGACTGGATTACCAGGAAGTTAGAAAATCCCCTGATGTAACGTGTTCGGGAATACTAACTGTACAGGGTTATGTCTTCACAGAGCAGAAACTCCTTCTGATCATTGCTATGCACAATCTGTGGGAGCAATGATTGGAGTTGCATCACGTCTTACTCTTTGATTCTCCAAGAAATCGAGCTCAGATTAGATTAGATTAGATTAGATTAATGCTTCAATCTGGCAGCATCCCCTGTATGTTTATTAAAGTTTCACTTAGTGTCGTGCCCACTCCCCTCACCTTTCTGGTTCATGAAGTTGTTTTGTGTCATAGTCGGAGTTGATGAGTTCTATGCTCCCCACATTAGTTTGGTCAAGTCCGGCCATCACCTGAGGGATGCGCCAGGTCTATGCTATCAGTTTCTTCAATGGCAACCCGCACTACCAGGCTTATAGTCATAACAAGAGAGCTGTTCGAGGTACTGGGCCTTGGGTGACATCATTCCCATAAAACTCATTGTTCTGCATTGTGTGATTGTATTGTTGAAAACCTGATTTAGTATGAAACCTAATTCAGAATCTTGATTGTCAACCAGTCACCACAACGTGACTGCCACTGGGCGTGGATCAATGGCTGCAAGGGTAAATTGACACACGCAGATAAGCGTTCTCGAGGTCTATGATTGAGGGCATCTCCATCAAGTCTCTTACGTCCTGCAGTATTTGGTCTACCCATACCACATATTTTGAGATCGTTAACACTGGTGAAGATGGCAATAGAGCCTTGATCGGTTGGAGTGTTTTACTACTGAACATTCTCAGTTGCCATAGAAAGCAGTGAGGTTTGTTACCAAAGGAAGTTAGAGATTGGGAACCACCCATATTTATGATACCACCCATCCCCCAAAAAATCACATCTACCGACACTTCAAATGTGCTGAAATGGTGTTTGTGTTTGGGATCAGAATTCAACCACATCCTCCTAAATGTTGTTGTCACTAGTCATGCCCACATACCTTTGATGGCAGCCTGATCTAGTGCTGCGATTGCCGCTCCACAAGACTGTTTTGATTTACCATACTGAGTGTTTGACTAATGAATATTCTCAGTTGCCATAGAAAGCAGTGACTTCTGGTGGCAATCTGCTTCGGCAATTATCACATTTCTATGCTGTTTGTGACGTGGAATACATGGACCACCTTATATAACTCTCTTGTATCTTTCAGTATCTAAAGTGCTCGAGCTCGTTTTCTTAGACCTATTGAACGAAGATTTGTGCTTTTAAATACTAACAATAACCGCTCAAAATTGAGATTCCAGCCAAATGTACCATACCCTCTAGGCAATCATTTCAAGGCAAAAGAGAAATACGTTTCTGCCCTGGACAGGCGGGAAACTTTCTAGTCTCCGTCTAAATTCGGCATCTTTACTACTTTTGAACTTCAAAATGTTTGTTCATCCTTTTTGTGGTCGTAATACTTTCCACCAGGTACTCATCGAACTGGGCCCCTTAGCCGAACGATTTTATGTTTGTTAACAAATTTATCTTCTTCAGTATCGTGTGTGTTTTTGATACTAGTAACATTAAGATTCTGAGAGTGTTTTTCTAACAAATAATATTCTTCGGAAACGAGCATGAGTTAGAATGTTTGGTAAAGAGAACTCTTTAACTTTGTCATGGTAGTACACTATGGTGAAAAATCACAAATACTGTCATCGTTAGTTATCCGAGACAACCCCCGAGCTCTTGCATACCATCTGTCCTTAGATAATTTTGATGTGAGTTCAACATCAAACTACTACAACTCATGTTGATTTGACATACGCCTTACTATCTGATTGATTGGGTTTCCTACTTTTCGTTTCAGGACAGCTAAAGTTTATAGTTACGTGACATCCATCCGATAAATCAAGCCTCATGCGACTGAACGGCTGAAAACTCAATTCATTGGTTTCTATAGTGTATAAAATAAAACAACTATTAGTTTGATTTCAGCTAATTACAAAAGTGTGTATTATAGGCGTAGTTTAGATTTTGCCATGGATACCATATAATGCAATTTGAAGTTTGAGTGTGTTGGTAAACATACTGTGGATTCGAGCATCAAGTCAACACATATAAGGCTTATACCCATCCAAGACTGAAGTAGGTGACATAATTTCCCGAGCCAATAGAACAGCAATAGACGTCGCTGGTTTGTGAATGTATGTATGTGAATATATATGAATGCGTGATGTCGCGTATGGTTCAAAGCTTGGAACGTACTTATAGTACGCCACTCAAACGTGATCTCCAATGAGTGTATATCCGTTTAAAGACAAAGCTGGTATCAGTTATGAGTTATGGTTAAATCTCCTGTCATATGTCGTATATTCGTTATGTCGCTATAAATATATACAATGACTTAATTTAACTAAATATATTTAGTCGTTATATGCAGTGTTAAACATTCCAATAACATACGACGACAGTATTCCCAAAAGAGCAAATGTTCATACATCATTGCAACTTCAATGGAATCTTTGTTGTATGTATATAGGGCTGTGTTTGACTAAATTGCGCCCTCTAATTTAAAGGTCAAAATTGGGTATCGTAAAAAAGAATTAGGGCAAAAGGCATTACAACACATACACGCCGTCAAATGTGATTTCTGCAATTATAGTATGATATATACTATAATTGTTGTGCACAACAATATAGTTATGATACTCACATGATAGTCAAACACATAGATAATTATCCTATATTATCTATTTTATGTACTATTCATTATATTGTCTCTCGAAATATTCATAATGGTCGAATCCGGTTGAATACATTATTTCTGTCAAGCAAAATGCATTTTAATAAGCCGCGGAAAATTGACAGTATGCCAAAGTGGAATCCCCCTACAATCTTCACAGGAGTAATGTGCGGCGTACAGCACCAATAACACCTTACAAAGGCTGTGTTTTTAATAAGAACCAGCGTGTTATGTAGCAGGTAACACACGTAGAGATGAATATGTTCATTCATGAAGTTCATCATTTTTTATCTCACTGATCTGAAGATGTCTTGTATTTCATTGTTGCGTCATTTGACGATCAATTATCTGTATGTCACTTATCTCTACATTTTTTTCACGTCATATTCTCAAACTGCAATTTTAATTTTGTTTGAATGAACAGTTGGGCATGTCATGGAGCATATAGTATTACATTGTTGGAGATGAGTTCTTAATAAATATTATGAATAGAAATCATCAGATTGGGACTACTTTGATGACAATTTTATGAAAACTGTAATAATATTGTCATCTTCTAGAAACGTGAGCAATGCAATAACAAAGTAACATATTAAATATTCAGTATCTCATAGCAACTGACTCGTAGCGATACTAATACGGGCACGAACCGTTGCGTCGTACTGTCTGACTAATACGTAGAAGACGTTTTGAAGATGGAGAATTGACTTACATATATTAAGAAATAATATCATAAATATTGTATGGGAATATTTTATAATTTACCTGATGTCTTATATCATTAATACAAATGTACAGTCAACTGGACTTACAATATATATCAAGGCCAAACTATGGGGGTTATAGTGGCAACTGAATAATTGATATGAGATATTCAGTCGAATTGATGAAGCCGGTGGAACAAAAAAATATTTTGAGCATGAACAAACTGGTTGTGTTATTTATACATATTTTATTATTGCACTTAACGCAAATATTGTCTCATGTTTCTCTTTTTGAATTTCAAATATAATACACGATTTCACTGTAAAATCTCATTTAATATAATCATTTAGTATCTATTGGGTAAATCCTGGATTGGTAACCATCATTGTTGTTCCATTTCTTAACGATGGATATAAGTCATGTACAACGTCATCCGATATATATAATTCTGGAAATATAATAAATTGGGTTTTAGAAATATTTTAGTTGTTAACAGTATGTTGGTTAACCTTGTTTTTTGTGACTCTGTGTTGTAAATAGGTAGGGTATTTAGAGAGAATTAATCTTACCAAAACTAACTAGTAACCATATGAATACGTCAATACGGTGACTCCAAATTAGAAGTAACTAAAAATAAAATTAAAAATACAAATGCAAGTGAAACTAGTGAGAACTAGTTGGATTATAATGAAAATACTTTGACAAATGCAGTTATGATGTAAACAAAGACAAAGAAAATCTAGTTGGCATGACACGAGTTTATGGATGAGAAGTAACAAATCAAGATAAAGTAGTAAGGATTTGTAAAACAACTTTTACCTGGAATGTCATCATAGCTTTCATTGTCGGAATCAGATAGTATTGCTGTTTCTTTGAGGGAATCAAATAAACCCGCCGGCTCAATTGGAAATTCAAATTCATTATTATCATAAGGATCTACATCACCACTTAGTAATCTACTTGTTGCGTCTTCTACTTCTTCACAACATGTAGTTCGAATGTGTGGCACAGTCTGTGAATATTTCCGACGACCTTTGTCTGGTTGCTCTTCCATTGCAGCTGATGCATCAAGACAAATGTCATTATTCACACCCTCACCTTCTTTATCCAGGTCGCTGCTGTTATTGGACGACGCGATCGTTGGCAATACTTTTTCACGATATTTTCTATTTTAGATGAAGCATAAATGATTATATTCATATCAATCATCGAATAAGACATTTTACGAAGATTCCAGCCTTAAAAACTAACACTTAAAACATATGCAGCTTTCATTGAATTTCAGAGCAAAAACTTACAGGGCCCATAGGAAATAAGCACTTTTCATAATTCGATAATAATATTACATTTATTATTATTTAGTGTTTTGCAAAATGTCTTTATGTGAACAAAAGAAGACTTGTTTGTTATGTCACTATTCCACCCCTTACCTACTAGTCAGCTCGTAGTAATCTTTATTCGATGAAGCATTCCTTGAATTGGAGGTTGGGCGAGAGTATACAGAGCTGGTGTTCCGGGAATCACAATTAAAAGAAACACTTCCTGGCGAACGAAGAATAGAAAACACATAAACGCGACGCAGCATTAAATCTGGAGTAATCGATATCTCTTCAAATTAGGTAAATATTTTTAATGTGTCACTACGTACGTTAAAAACTCGACCACGTTGTTTTTCAGTGCTGTTCATTTAACTATTTATGACTACCGATCGACAACTGTATATATCTTGTGTACCTAATTTTCTACCAATGTTCCCCAAAGTCGACTGGATAATCAAACATAAGGCATTTTGCGTAGGTGGGAAATTGAAACGTTGTAACCCTATTAACCCAGACATTCCACTGGTCGTACAGATGCGTGTATATCCAGTTAAATTATTTACGATTATTTGTTGTTGATATTAAATCACTTTTAGAGATTTTTGTATTCAGTCATAATTAATAACATTCCCAGCAACCATGACGTCGTACAAACGGGAATTGACGCGACATCACGCGGATTGTCGGGTATTGTTCTCTAAGTATTGGCATTATATGTATTTTTACCACAAATATTGGATGGCAAGTCTTTTTCCTCTCCATAAATAGACGTGACGCTAGTTTCCATCGCCATTGCATTCGTCTGTGAAGGTTCATAGCGATAGGCGGGTTCCATACCAAGTTTAACCAATAAGCCGTTAATCTCTTTATCTTTCTGCAACAAACAGGTCACCGAGAAATGTTTGAATTTTAAAATTGTGACAGTTATTAATTAGTTATAATGTACAGTGAATAATATTTTGCCTGCAGGTAACATACCTCAGATAGCAGTTTTCTCAGTTTTGTATGTTCTGTTCTAAGACATCGTGTTTTCAATGGAACGTTTGCGCCGTCAAAACTCGACGCCATTTTGAAACTTCCTCTGCCACTGAGGCATCGAATCTTCCTCCCTTCGCCTCTTGGGTCTCTTTTCAATTCAACAAGCTAGGAATAGATTAGGAGGTTACATGACATTTGACTCATAACACATCATCTGACATGACTATATTGCTGTGGGATGAAATTAAAATCCCGTGATATAATCAGATTAAAAAACTGCTACTTTATCTAATTATAAATCATAGGCACATGAACTGGAACATAAATATCACATATACTGAGATGGAGAATTGCAAGAAAGAGCAATAGAGCTCTGAGTTTTGTAAAATCAATATGCCCGTCAGCCATGTTAAGAATGGTTTGAAATATTAATTTAAAACATCAGACAACATGGGTTGACGAGAAAGTTTTGCCCATTGGCGACAGACTTGCCTATCTGATTACTACTCTAAAATTCACCATATATGTCAAGTCAAGTAAGTTTCATTAGTGCTTTGACATTCGTTTCTGCATCGTGTTTACTGGTGTTAATACTACTTATATGAAATTTGAATATCCGGGGACGACACATTTTATATAACGCGATAAAAATAAAAAGCACGGATAAATAAACATATATAACAATAATAAACGCAATATATATTTGAGATCAAGGGCGTTATATAATCGGTACACAGGTGTAGTACATATGATGTGAACTGTAGCACAATTACGTAACAATTTCTAGTTGTGGGCTTACCTTTGGCAGGAAGACTAGACAGAGTGTCACTGTTGTACAAAATAGTATAAAAAGTGATATGATTCCGAACGTTGCGTTGGGATTATTGGTTATAAGAAAAGACAATGCCACTCCAATTACGCACATCACAACAACGTTATAGACGCACATACCGATGTATTTACTATCGTTTAATGCAGGTATACTAACGTGGCGAGTCTCCCATGCTAGAAAACACCCAAACACCTAGAAAAAAGTTTCACAGTGTTAATTCATTCATTGTGTAAACATTACTCTCGTAACATTTAAATCAGTAAGCAAGCAAATCGGCGCCAGCGATTGTGTCATTAGAAAAGAGTCATTACATATATCTTATTAATAACTATGAATACATACATACGATCGGCGTAAACTAATGAGTGTTATTGCAATTAACAAGATTAAAGTAGATTTAATTTCCTGTCTCATTATGTTATTATGTCGATTACAACATACACTTTCGATGACATTATTAAAAATGCCTGGCTGATTGAAACAACTAATTGCGAATGAATAATACAGTGTAACACGAACCTAATATTGGTAAAGCAAAGGTATTCCTAAATTATAGATAATGCACTATATTAATGTATACTAACCATTAGTACTCCTTTATAGACGTATATGACAGCCAGCCATATTGACATATGAACACTTTCACAGTGTTGCATAACAGGTACAAAGAAGACATCTCTCCCTTCAGGGTCGGGCTGTTGAAAATATCAACAATTTGAACTATGTAAATTATAAAAATGTACTCAAATATATCACTATTAATCTTTAAATAATATTGAAATCTGGTAATAAATATATATTTTCAAATAAAAAGTACTGTATATATCTTACAACATTCTTACAACTCTTTCAATCGATTTATTGTTTGATCTATAATTAGGTATGTCGAAGGGCAACAGTGTGTAGTTTAACTATGATATATAATCTAAAGATAACGTTAATGTTAACAATGAATAAACGAACCACAGTGCATCTATACGATTAATGAATTACCTCCTCTTGGCCCTCAATTTCCATCCTCTTCATCGGATCTTTTACTTCCCATGTTACCAATAGCAACACATCGATAAGTAACAGCACGCCCACTATTGCGAATAATTTGTTATCTCGAATTACCTGAAATTGTTTTAAACGTTACGGCAAAACAGGACTTCAGGAAAATAGTATTTGACGGCTCGGTAATCGCGGGTGTCTACTGACATTAAAGAGCAAATGCAGTGAAATTATATAATGTAATCTTTGATACACGACATTGAGTTGAATTCCGCCTTAAATATCTTGAAAACATGTACAAGACTGTCGGGTCATCGAGATGAAACATGCCCAATCCCATTGTTGCCTCGATGATATACACGTGGCGGTAATTGTATTTGATATAGTACGATTAGAAAACAATTTTGTCACTGCAATCACGTAATGCGTTTCCTATTGAATGTATTGTTGCGTCTATACAATGCTTAGCTATGGATTCTGACAGACACGATAAATATATAATGATTCACTGATGATGTGACTTATCGTATCTCTCAGATTACAGTTTTTTTTTTACTATTGCGCGAGAACAAGCAAAACCACGTGAATGTTGAAGAACTGAACATACTATTACTTATGGTTGACATATAATATTAGTCAGGTATTAGTTACTCAATATCTATATTATTCAGCGTCGTGTGTGCAAAGAGGATCATGTGTTCTGACCGACAGGTATATATTTGTGTGACAGATTACCACAGCTTTCGAGCGGGTTTGGCGACGTAAATGTGAGATCACTGTTGGGCTTTCGAGTGTGGTAAACAGAATCCTGTCGGTGTTTAAGGCCAATCTCCGATGTCACACGTTTAACATTCCGTAGAAAATCAACACTTGAATTACTACTTGACCACTATCTATTTCACAAACACTGCCTCGTCAAAAAAAAGTCACGAGGATATATACTAAAACTCCACTTACTCGCTTTTTCATTTTAATGTTTGTAAATATACTGTGTACTCTCCAAGTTTTGCTGAACATTGCTCCGAACGCCCCGGTGAAACCAATCGCCAGCATCCAGGCACGGATCTGAGTGCAATATAAAATGACAGATGAGCCTCGGAAACTTAATTATAGCCATCTGTTTCATTATCTAGTGAATTTGATTGATTATCACGGTGCTATGTGGTGTTGTATACATGCAATGTTCGAGAGAAACTATTCCGAATAGTGAGTAGTCTAAATTCCACAATCGACACGTGGTTAATAATTAACTTCAGACGTAAGAGATGATTGCGCTTTGTTATTATAATCTATTCGGCAGAACGAACTCTGTAGTGCCAGCAGCCTTTCCATAACCCCGGTATATTAATAGAGCGGCCCGAGGTGGAGAACGCGCACATGTAATCATACATCAAATCAAATAATGGAGTAGTCAATATGAAATGACCAAGACTGAATTAGGATTCGTTGTAATTACAGTGCAGCTCAATCTCTCCAGCAGTAACTTACCGAGCATAGAACGTGTACGCCTGTGAGGTGGTTTCCATCCAATCCAAGAAATAATATAAAACAGTAACACAGTATGCCACCGAATATAATGAGGTTATTCAGATAAGGACTGGACATCTTTATGAACCTTATTTGTTGTAGAATTAACAAAACATAGAATATTATAATATGAGATTATGCACATTATGACTAATTGATCTGTATCAAATGGCACTATCTTCGATTACGTCAGCCGCTGGCTTATTTTACTTGTTTTACACATATTGTTCATGTACGTGTACATACAAAAATGACTCGCCTTCATGAACTTATATTATAAACGTAACCACAATAATAGATTCTGAAAGTTATAAGCGCATGGTCAGTGAATCTTCTCATTATTGTGAATGGTGACAATAGAGGATAAGTTCGATTCTAAAAACTGTACAGCTCACCTGTGCTTTCTGAACCGCATATTGAAGAAGAGAAAAAGTAAAGCCAGCAAAATACCAATATACGTTAAACAGCACATGATGACGTAAAGAACAAAGGATACACCACGTTGAATGCGAATAACAATAGGTTGATCTAAAGGCGGGGACCCGTCTGGAAAATATATAACAGTTCGAACATTATGCAATACTGAACGATTCATTACAAAATTGATGAAAGATGTTATTATCGATTATTATAATATAACATGGTAGAAGGCAATCGCAGTTCTTGGTTTTTAAACAGACGTTACAATGAAGCAGGGTCATTGCCTGATTATATTAAATAATAAACAAAAACAAATATTACATGTACCTACCTAATACCAAATTCTGAAACAAATTATGGGTTGTTAAATGTTCAGTGCAGTGAACCATTTATATATTTAAATATATGTTGAGTAGTGATGTAACGCACTTAATGTATTGCATATATCAGAATCTATACCATATGAAAAATACATTTTGTAAGCAACATATAGTGAATCAAATATAGTGAATGTGGACCTGCACAAAGACGGTGACACAGGTGGTGATATAATTAATGTTCCATGTCGACAACTTCTATGTATGAACTTTATCTCACCTGCCCAGTGTATCAAGTCATTGTTAATAAAGTAGTCGTCACTATGTGCATGGTACTCTCCTATATTTGCGTATCTACCATCTGAAAACAGAATCACATTACTAAGTGTACAGTTTGTAGGGGTGAACACAATTCTTTGCCGAGCTTCAAATTCGTCTCATATTACCATATATGGCAATATGAGGCACGTACCCCGTTTAGGCTAATTGGTGGCAGTGATACAGTGAGTTTTCTGTTTACCAAGTCAATGCAGATGGAGAAACATTGTTGCGGGCAGGTTAGTTTAACTTCGTACGTACACTACTAGTACGAATTGCAACCAACATTGTCCTAATTTAAATCAGAAAATGCTACGATGTTGTGAAAACGAGATATACATCGTCAGATAATACTAATCACCGAGGAGGCCGCGACGTCACATGAAGCAATTATTTTGAGCTCAAAACCAAAGAGTATTCCTACCTACAAACTGCTTATATAAAATAGTTCCCAATCTATCTCCATTCCTGAAACGTACACGGCCCTGGAATTAAACGAAAACAAACACTTCAATTACATACATACATTCAACCTTTCTTAAGGTTGTAATATCGGGAACATTGTGTTGAAAGCTCTTTTATTTTTAGTAACCTCACACATTTCGATCAGATGCAGTACCAACAAGAATTAAAATATAAGATACAGTGATGATTCTGAACAAAATGAATCTAAATGAGGTCGTAATTCAATCCTGCGTGCGATTCAGATATGTGATTATTTTATTATGAATACACAATGACGATCTACGGAATTGCTTGATAATATTCGTCTACGTAGGCAAGTTCCTTTCAGTCCGGATATCATGGGCATACCGAAACTTGACTCATTCTTTCGTATCTGTTCCGATAATGACTCACCGTGACGCCAACGAAATCAGTCTCGTTCATAGCCTCCATAATCATCTGAAACACATCTTCATTTGCATACGTGTAATTTACAAGGGATGTGACGTTGCTGCCCAGTTGTCGTATCACAGCATCCAGTGCAAGTGCTATAGCCCAAACACCGTCATATGCATAGCCATGAAATACGGTATAGTTGTCGCCATTGTTGGTGTTGTATTGATCTTCGTACGCAGAAGCCGTCTGAAAAGGTGACGTTATATTAGATGAGATGAGAACACGTGGATGTCGTAGAGTATACGTTTAAAACGCCATATTTTCGCGATCGAATTCAGTGTAACTGGACAGGTCGAAAAAGCACATTATATAGGTCGGCGCCACATATTACCAATTTATATTTGATTATGCTCGCTATCGGAAAGCTTTTCTGGGCTTCTGTGTTTCTATAGAGAATATTGCAAACATATTGACAAGATCATTTGTTTATTTTTCACATGTAGTTTTCAATCTTTCAAGAACAATGCTTGACATTTGGAACGATCAAAAACGAGCAGACTCGCAAAAGAAAAAGTTCGCGCACACTACTGGCTTACATTGTACTTATATTTAATGTGTTATCAACATACGCATGTATTAAATAGATAGTCCAACAATGTTTTAGTTACTAATTACAGTAACAGTCATCTTTCAGACGTAATCACTGTGGGTGCCAATGGCACGGAAATATTTTCTTTTCACTTTTGGTGATAAACCGTTGGAAGTCATTTAGCTTGGATAGAATATCGTCACTTACTAATCCCGCTATCATCTCCGCGCCAGTTGTTGCTAGGGGCAAAACATCGGTTGCTATGTAACCCTGGATTGCATCATATAATTCATCATCTTTGCATCCTGCAAATTCACTCGTGCTGTTCCACCAATTGTCGGTAAACCACCCGGGAAGAATCCATACGTACTTATTGCCTACCAATTGATTCTTTCTCGCCTATAATTATAATTAAATATACAATAAATATATGAATAAATATATAAATAAATATAATAATAAATAATAAATAGTCTGTTGAGGAATGCACAGCGGAGAACTGGACATAGAAAACGTTCATTGTAAGATGTTGCTATTTGCTCATTAATAACGCATTGTATACCACGCGACATTAAAATATCCGAGAGCACCCATCGGAATCAGTAATAGCGCCACATAGTTGTTGAAGTTGAGAGTTAGACCAAACCTTATATCACACGTTTTCATCAGCTACAGATGTTGTACCTCGACTAAGACGACACTGTCATGGTCGAGGCACAAGGTTCAATTTACTATACCAGTTCACAAGTTGAGCTCAGCTATGACAATATTGATTTACAAGTTGTGTGCAAGTTATCTGTAGTGATTAAATTCTGCATACAACTGAATACAACTGTAGCCTTTACACATGTGCGGATTTATAGAATTATACAACTGTTGGTCACGTGATTTATTGTTGTGGCCTTTAATTTATTTTAATTTGGAAACGTTTGTTTCATACAGATGTTAAACAGGCCGCCCTTGTATTTTTAATATAGTGTGATTTCTACAGTTGTATTTATATGGCAAGTGTAATCGCCACATATAACGAATTGTTAAAAGACGGCCACCAGGACGACTACCAGATCATATCCGGAAAACGGCCCGCTAATTAACAATTGCAGTCTCATAATAGTACTGTAACTAACCCTCACATATCTTCTTTACAATGTAAACCAACCATACTTGTATTGATACGAAGACTGTTGTGATAGCATTGAATGAGCTGTCAGTATGTAATTTCATATGCGAGTGGGTGGTTAAAATATTTGTACGACTCGAAACAAACATTTAACAAAGGTTAATTCGACTGAGTGTCAATGTGTACGCGCTTTATATGCGTACATCCGTAAAAATCAGGACATGCTGTGATATGTGTCTTAGCAGTCTATTATAGTTATTACAACGCTCAAAGTGATTTGAAATATACGAGGACACTTTTTTATTAGGACGATATTTCCATGTTCTGGAATGTAAGTTATGCGCAAATAAACGACCAAACGACTACCACATATGCTCATTTGAAAACGTCGCGACTTTGAACAATCCTGTACTGTTTACATTTACATTAGAAACACATTGTCTGACTATTTAATTTATATCAAGTTCAGTTACACATTTACTTGGATCGTAAACTATCCCAGAAGTTTAATAACATAGCTTGCCAACGTTCTAAATCAATGCGGATTAATTATTGTTAATTGCTGACAGGAATTCACTCTTTGTGGGGGGGGACTTTTATGCCCGACAGCAGACTATAACCTTGCAAAATGATGTTGGCAATAAACCTGAGAAGGAATTCCTTCGAATAATTGATTGAACTGTCTAATATACTTACGCTACAGAAAACCTGCTTAGCCATGACCTCATCGAAGTATCCGAGTATTATCCTCGCGCCGGATTCCTAAAAAATAGTTTAAAGAGAATTGGTTTAAAGACTATGATACCTCGTTCTTTAATATACATTATAATAGTAGTGGCAGACATAAAAAATATACATATTGCATCATAGACTTATAAACCGATTCCCTTGCTTCCTCTATGCTGTTGCGTGGTATACATATAATGGGCAATTAGGTGATCAGACTGTTATATATACATACAGTGTTTTTGAAATCGTCAATAATAATTTTAAATCTCGTCAAAATGCACTTCCCATGTGTCCGGATACGTGATAAATGTTAACAAAGCGATAACACCAATAAAGATAATCTCGTTTTACCTTTATGCTTTTTACAGCGCTATATGGGTTATTAGCGAAATTTGCAACCTTGATTAGTTTTATGCCGGATTTCTCCAAAATGCTAGACATTTTATTGTGTGCCTGTGGAAAGAAACATAAAAATCAATATACAGTAACCAAAGTGGAAACAATGCCCGAGAGAACGCTACATATTAAGTATTTACGATTCTGGAGCCAGTAAGATAATATTGATACCGACAACTCGGCGATTTTGATTAGGAAATGGATAAATATTACATTATAATGAATTAGTGCAACGTGCAGTCATAACAGCAGTAGTGATATGCATGCCTCAAATGAAGAACGCGGAGAGTCATACGCAATTTCCTTCTGTACTCCTGTGTCATGTTTAGTTTCACTCAACTTGCTGCCCCCACTTTCTCAAAGAAAACACCAAGATAACTCACTATTGAGAACCGTGGTGTGTCTTGGTGTATTGTCGCCACGTGGGTCCAATTAAAATACTCCAGTAACTTTAATTTGGCAGGGTTGAAGTCAGCTTCAGAAGGAACGGTGCGGAAAAACGTAGGGTACTTCTCACGTTCTGATAAAAACGGTTCTGTGTTTGCGTAGGAGAGCTGTTAGAATAAATAAATAAATAAATAAATAAATAAATAAATAAATAAATAAATAAATAAATAAATAAATAAATAAATAAATAAATAAATAAATAAATAAATAAATAAATAAATAAATAGCTATCGTGTACTAATATGTGGTATTTGGTGATTCACGTTTTTCTATGGGAACATATATCGGGAATTAAACAATGACTATTTACAATATCAACAGTAATACTGCTCCAAAAAGCTCAGTACAATATGGTACGAATCGATATCTTTATTTTAGCCAAAAGAAATACTCAACAAATGTCTCTACATTACGTCTACTACGTCACATTACCTGTATTAAATTCCACCATATTGCAGCCTCGGCTATGGGCGCTGTCACGTTTGAACAAATACCACCAAAAACCATTAACTTTGGAGGACCTGTAGCCATCGCTTCGAAGAAAGCTTTGGTACCTTCCGCCATATCACACTGTTGGAAAATATGAAAAATAAAATAACATTTCAATGTGTCCACAGGCCTGCATGAGGTTTTGTTGTCACCGTTTTTCAATGAATATATATAGGTTATACATATAAAGACCAGTGGTATTTTTTTGACGTTTATAATACATTATTATTCATCTGTCACCGTAACGCCATAAGTTACAGCGTGCCGTAATTTTACGGTATTTTACGGGGTCTTTTCATCCTACCATAATATGAAATTCAACGCGCGCAAGTGTTCTCTAATAATAAAAACAAACATGGCTGCTACCAGGGTTTGACCGAATTCCGCAGAATAAAGAATTTGATTTGATTCTGTTCTAAACTTTTTGGATTTCGGCATTCCCATGATGTATTCTTAGAAGTAAAAGATGTATAATAATAAGGTTATTACG